TAAAGAAAAAAATTTTTCAACAATAATAAAACTTTAAAAATTACATATAAAAATTTTTTAAAAAAAATACAATAAATAAAACTAGTACTGTATTAATATATAATATATATGAATTTCATAATTTTTGATTGTATAATTAAGGATTTAAAAATTGTTCACGTTGAAATTTATAATAAAAATATAGTAAGTGGACTCAAACTTTTGGAAGTAACTGTATAATCAATAGATTATAAAATATGTTAAGAATTAAATATAAACAAGTTTCTATTAAACACTTTATATATTTTAATAATATCATTAATAACAAAAAGAGTTGTTTGATATTTTAGTTTATATTATTTTTTCAATTGAATAAATTTATAGATCAAGTTTCATAAGATTAATAAGATGTAAGCAATAAATCCCTAGGTAATAAAAAAATTATTATATATTCAAGTTGAGATCTTTTTCTTTTATTATCTCAATTAGACAAACTTGTAAATTAAAATATTTTTCTTATCTTAATTAGGAAATAAGATTGAATTGAATGGTTTTTAAATTATATTAAGTTTCAATTTTTTGATTATAAATAAAAATATATTTTTTTAAAATTTATTGAGAAATATATGATTTTTGTATAATAGAAAATATTTATTAGTAAAAATTTTTTAACTAGATAGGATGTTGAAAAATATTATATTAAAATAATATGAATCAGTTTCTATTGAGTTACATAAGAATTTGAAATCTATTATAAGTTACATATTTATTATAGGTGAATACAAAATTATTGTTCAAAGAAAGTTAGAATCAAGTGTTATTGGAAATAAAGAATCTTATTAAATAATAAGTTTTTTAAGATAATATATAGAAAGAAAATTAAAATCAAAAATGAATTAGTTTCTCAAATAGTTAAAAAAAGAAAAAATATTTCAATCAAGTATTTTTTATTAATAAGAGGTCTTGAAAAATAGATCTTTAAAGAAAGTTGAAGAATTTTTTTTTTTTTTTCCTTTTCATTTTTTTGCAACATATTTGTATATCTTTCTTCTTTTTTTTTTAACACATTCTTTTGTAGTTTCCTGTATTTCAATGATTTGATAGAATATTTGGTAATGACAACCCACTGACAATAAAGTGATAGATTAGAAGAATATTTATTCAAAAATCATTATAAAGCAAAATATTATTCCCAAGACTTGACTTAGAGACTATTATTACCTATTATGAGTTTGTTAGATTTAATAGAAATGGTTAGCTATAGTATATATCATGGTGCTCAAGTGAAAATATACTTATGTTTTCAATTGATTAATAAACTATGATCTAGTTTGGCTGTGGGTACTCAAAAAAAAAAACTTAGATTTGAATAAACACAGTTATAATAAAAAAAATGTGAATTTAAATAAATAAATAAATAGTTTTGATATATTATTTAAAAAGTTAATAAATATAATTTTCGTAAATTAAATTTTGTATTTTATTATACAAATTTATTCCATAACTGACCATTTCTTATGATCAACTATTCTGGTAATAATTCAATAATTCGATATATACCGTTTCCATTGTACAAGATTATTCTTGTCTGTCGATGGTTGCTAATTTAATTAAACAATAGCATTGGGAATTTCATTTGTAACACCATTTTATTTGGCATAAAAATTCAATAGCTATTATCGTTTTTCGAAATAAAAGTATTAGCCAGTCATCTATCACGTGAAACATAATGGAAATCTTCTCGCAAGATTAAGTTATTCTCACCTATCGACAATCTCAAGACCATGTTCGTGATAATTAGTCATCTCCTCTATCATAACAGAATCATACTTATAATAGAATGAATGAATAGAAGAAAATCACAAAGAATCCCTTTAACATGTGATACTCAGAAGTTGTCTCCTATGGCTCCAATATTTATGACGAATAGTATCGTGTTGCTCTTCCAAAAGTTTGCATGTCTGGTTACATTCACAAACGAGAATCGGAAGTATAAGTAAGTATGATATACGATTACAAACCATAAAATGAAAATATAAGACACCTTAATTCCCAACTCCTTATCCTCCGTTGAACCACGTTTCGCGCGACTCTCGTATATGTCGACGAGACAACAAAGTGCATGGGGAGATATGATACCCTGTTCCTCGAGATTCTTGCATACCCCTTCAAGAACGCCAATGTCTTGTTCGTTGGACTTTGCGATAATTCTACAATAAAAAAATAAAAATATTACTTTGAGTGTAATTTTAACATTAACAAAGTTACAGCAAATAATATAACAATACCCTTTGACATAGTTCCACGGACTGATATTGTTGGGAGCTAGCATTATTTTATTTATCGTATACCTTTAATAATCAAATCATAAATTAATTTCATAGAGTTTAAAAGCAAGTGTTGACACACGCAGATTTACTTACTGAACTTCTTGAGCAAGAAATTCTTCAGTGGGCTTTGTAGGATTAAAAAATATAGCAAAATATCTTTGATTCCAAGCAGAATTGTTTCGAACATCATCATCCAATAGTTTACCGACGAAAGATAACTCGCCATCCCAAAGATCAAAAGTCCTCATGACCCACTGCCTATTAAACATATTAAAATATGAACATATTTTAAACAAGATCATTAAAAAGCACGAGAACGACATCTAACCTGTAGGTCCAAGCATGATAGTTTTTTGAATCGTAATTTAGTATTTCTTCGGTGAACTGTAATTCGCGTGAACTATCACCAAGCCTCTCGACGACAACCTGCCGATGATGCCTTTTTTTGTGTAAAATCCAAAAATTTTATTGACGCGCGTTCCGAATCGCAAGACGAGATACATACACTGATCTCTTACCAGAGTTGATAATTCTTGGGATTTATATTTACTTGCTCCGTGATAAAATTTAACTCTTCATGTAAATCTTTATTCAAGGATATTAACAATTTCTGGCGATAATGCCTTATAATTTTTTTTTCATGTGAGTGAATACATTATTGAGACGTTACAGGAAAAATACCTCGGAAACGAAAATTACCAAATAGTGTAATGAGCTGGGTTGTGTTCGATGATTGCTTCTGTTAGTGCCAAGGCTCTTTCACTGCATTCGTCTTTTAGAGAAACCGCACGAAAATAGTCCATGGCCATAACGTCTGTTCAAAAAGAGATTTTCCGGTGAATCTCTGTAATCAAAAAGTTAGAATGATAATAAGGCATACACACATTCTGAATCGTAAGCTATAGGTGCGAGTGGGTCCGGTCCATCGTCCTGCGGAATCGGAGTAAGATCTCCCCAATCTGCATCCAAGTAAGAAGACATTATCACGAACTGAGAATGAACTAGTGATACATGCGGATCATCCAACCACACGGATATAACGTGTATGCATTGCTTTAATGGCACATCTGCCTTACACAAGCAATCCCCTTAAACGTTGGTCCTCCTGTCGTCGTTCTTTTAATTTCTATTTCTTTCACATTATACATACTGTTCTACTCTTTTTGATTTTTGATTTTTGATTTTTTTTTTGCAAATTTCGACCTTACGATGGCAGCAATTTTAAAGTCTTTTTTGGATTGGCTGAGAAGCTTGTTTTTTAAGGTTCTTATCGTATTTTTCTTGACTTGGATCTCTTGTAACTAACGGAATTTTGATCGCACAACCTTTAAAATAGACTGAGCTCGAACTGACATTGGTTGGTCTCCAAAATAGCGGCAAGACAACGTTGGTAAACATTATTGCAGTAAGTTCTCTGTCTTTCGGGAATATACATTGTCGAAATCGTATTTTTTGGGTAAGGGATTTTTTGATATTTAAGACCTTTCACATATATCACAACAGTCTGGTCAATTCAAAGAAGACATGATACCCACTGTGGGTTTTAGTATGCGCAAGGTCACTAAGGGAAATGTTACCATGAAGTTATGGGATATTGGGGGACAACCACGTTTTCGAAACATGTGGGAACGCTATTGCCGTGGAGTAAACGCTATTGTGTGAGTAATCCGGGGCATTCATATTCCTTGTTTGTTACAATCATTCGTTAAAAGACCTTCCTTGATCGATTTGATTCGAGATAGATTCGTGGTCGATTCCGCTGATCATGAAAAGTTTGGAACTGCACGAAATGAGTTGCACAGCCTTCTAGAGAAACCCCAACTCGCAAATATTCCAGTTTTAGTCTTGGGCAACAAGAATGATTTACCAGAAGCTTTGCCGGTTGAACAAATTATTGAAAAAATGTAAGCTCATCTTTAGTCCGGAAGTTGTGTGTTATTATCGTAGATTTCTGACATCCTTATTACAAACAGGGACTTGAGATCCATCGATAATCGCGAGGTTTCTTGCTATTCAATTTCCGCGAAGAATCAAGTAAACATTGACATTACTTTACAATGGTTGATCAAGAAAGGAAAAGGTTCAAAATAAATGTATTATATGTATATTTTTTCGGCATGAAAACTTTATTTTATACTGCCACCTCACAATTTCAATAACAAATTAATTTATATGAATATTGACATCAATCTAGAGTATAAGACACATACAAAACATTATTACCTATGAATTTCTCATTTCGTTAGCTATGAATAGGTCGGCTAATTTTTATTGTAGTTTACTATGAATGGAAACGAATGAGAGGTTTCTTTCTTTTTTTTTTTGTTACATTGGTAGATACAAAGCACAGAACGCCTAATTTTATTTTATTATTTTGATTCGTTAAATAAACACTTTCCCATTTTTAGTTTGATATACACAATACCAAATCGAGACGTTTAGTCTAACTTTAAAATTATGTTACACATCTTCCTTTATAATGCTTCGGTCCACATCGCAAACACCCAAACGTTGAATATACTGATGATGCATCAAAAGATGATGCAATTACACTGCGAACGATTGGGTGGTCTAGGCAGAGTTTCTGAGATTAAATTGACCACTCGGTTTCTCCTGTGATCTATTGTATATCAGAGATTAATCTATGATTATTGATCTATGATTATTGTAATAACAATTTTCACGATGTCTATCATCAAAAAAAAAATTTTTTTTTTTATTTACAGTACTACATGCTTTATTTATATCAATGGAACACTTGATGGTAAAAAGTTGAAAAGCAATTAAAATAACGAACCGTATTCTACTAGAAAACATTCAACGTTGTTAAGCGGAAAGAATGGTTATGGTTCAAGTTATTGACAACTAATTTCATTTAATTTAACATTACAGACGTCTATAAATGGCAACTCATTATACGTGTTTGAAAGATAGCTGTTGCCATTGCCGATAAGGTAAAATTGAAATACTAATAAACGGGATCGACATTGGAAGTTGTTAGAACGCGACGCGAATTCTATCTTGTGATTGGTCATCGTCAAAAATTTTTTTTCATGGAACGGCAATCAATCTAGGAATTACGATGCTTAACCCCCTCCCTTTCGCAAACGTTGCAAGAGGTTTAGGAATGAGCAGACAGGTCGCGATTTCCGCAACTTCGACCCTTGTTCTCCCGATATTCAAAAGAGGACCTTCATTTGTAGCTTCGGGAACAAGATTTTTTCCTTTTACACCTCGCATATCGCGAGGTCTGCAGAACTGTTATGTTAGGAAATCAATGTTTTCATGTAAGAATTGTCGTCATTGGTCTTGTTTCCCCAACGCCCTCGCCACCGAATCGTCAGATCTTGGCCGTTTCCGACAGTTGGTCAAAAGGAGTAAAATGTCGACATTGCCAAAAGAGGATTCTCAGTACAAACATTTGAGTTTGACACAGCGATTTAAACATATGAGCAAAAAATACGGTACTCCTGCAATAGTTATATACACTGTCATATCAGCCATAGATCTAGGATTGACATTCGTTTTGATTCAGGTCGGTGGCGCGGAGCGGGTGAAACAGGTTGAAGATTGGTTCACGAAAACGTTTGGAGGGTGGATTACATTCAAAAAAGATGAAAAGAACTCTGCTATCAAAGAAGAAAAACAGGATAAAGGTTTTACAACAAAAATTAGCGAGACCGCCCATCGTCAACTTCCATCTTTGACGAGCACTTTTGTAATTGCCTATGGAATTCATAAACTTTTGGTTCCATTCAGATTGGGCTTGACAGCGGCATTGACCCCTCCGACGGTTAGGAAGTTGAGGGAGATGGGTTGGAAGCGATTTAAGGAAATTTAACTTGACATGTATGATGTAGCAGGAAACACTCTGTCCCCCCCAAAAAAGTGATTTTTCTTATTTATCGAACATGCCGTTCAAGTCATAAATGTAGCCACCGAACTTTATATTGAGGATTGTTATATTTGCTAATGAATTATTAACCTTTGTGCTGATTTATATATAAGAAATTATCTGTTGTATTTTTTTTTCTTGAAATGTAGAAATTAATAGTCTACAGGTAAAGCCCTTCGGGTGTGCCTTCGGTCTTACGGTAGAGGACCTTCTCTCGCGCCTTCCTAAAATCCTCGGCAATTACTTTCATACGTCTTTCGCGTAATGCCAACAAACCAGCTTCAGTGCAGATAGCCTAGTGTTGAAATGAAAAATGAATTGAGAAATTCTCGGAAAACTTAAATCGAGTAATAAATAACACTTACTTTAATATCTGCGCCACTCAAATCGTCCTTTGACATTACAAATTCCTCGAGGTCTACATCATCCGACAATGTCATTCTACTTGTATGAATGTTAAATATACGACGTTTCGTTTTTACGTCCGGTAATGGAAATTCTATCTTTCGGTCAATACGACCTGGACGGATCAAAGCTGGATCCAGAGATTCAATGCGATTCGTTGCCATGATGACCTTTTCGAGTAGAAGACTATGAGCAACTTGTCAATCCAAATTAAACAATGTTTCTAAACACTCACCTTGACATCACCGCGAGAATCAAATCCATCTAATTGATTTAAAAGTTCCAACATAGTTCTTTGAATTTCCCTTTCACCGCCTGAATTTGAATCATAACTATATCAAATTACACAAGCAATATTATAAATAAATTTTGTTAAAGCAAAATGTGTAATTCTCAATTTCAAATTTTCAACACACCGTTTTGTTCCAATAGCATCAATTTCATCAATAAACACGATGGATGGTGCATGCTCCTCGGCTACGCGAAACAATTCACGTACAAGTTTCGGTCCATCACCAAGGTATTTTTGAATTAATTCCGATCCAACAACACGCAAGAATGTTGCAGATGTCTGATTCGCCACCGCCTTGGCCAAAAGTGTTTTTCCTATGTTTTAAAACAATCCAATTGGTTCTGACATCATTATTATTAAATAAACCATAATAATTTATTACCGGTCCCCGGAACGCCATATAGGATAACCCCTTTTGGAGGTTTGATACCCATCTCCTCATATAATTCTGGGTGAGTTAGGGGTAGCTCCACGGACTCTTTGATTTCTTGAATTTGTTGTTCTAAGCCACCAATATCTGCATACGACTCCGTAGGTGCCTTTTCAAGTTTCATGACACTGACCATTGGATCGGTGTCATCTTGAAGTACACCAACAACAGACATCGCCTAATAAAATATGCATTCTAAGTATTTATGAAGTGAACGATCCCCTTTTAATTTGACCTACCTTATGGTGTAATAAAATTGAACATCCAGGTTCTAATAAATCTTTGTCCACAAAAGAGTATATGCTAACATAATATTCAGGTCCTGTAGAAGAAGAAACAATCGCGTGCTCATCATCAATAATTTCTTCCAAGGTACCAACTCCCATGGGAGATCCCCTTAGATCATCCACCCTGGTTCGTTCTTCCTGATTCAATCAAGAAACATGACTCAGCTAAAATCGATAACTTTTCATCGCAAAATATGATACCAACTTGCGCCTTTTCCTCTTGCGGTTTTAATCGTTCTTGATTTTGAACAAATTCTTCCTCCATCAACAGGTAATCCTTTATGCGTTCCATTTTCAAAAGTTTTAATCGGCAACGCGTTGTTGGAAATACTATTGAAAGAGAAATGAATTAGACGAATCACTTTTTAATGGGCGAATAACAAAAAAACATGAATTTACCAGCTGGTAATTTTGATGTTGCATCTGGACCTCTTCTCTTTTTTTTACCGACGCGGGTTGGAAGGGGTGGTTCCCATTTCTTTTTCTTATCTTTATCCTATTTGCGGAATTCACTTAAATTAGAAAGAAGAAATCGTGCTGTCAAACAATGATGGATTCTATAATAACCTTATCGTCTTTATTCTTGTCATCGCCAGGGCCGGGTGGGGGGAGAGATGGCGCATTACCCTATAGAGCATACATGTGGTATCAAATCAATAAATCTTTCGAAGGCACGAAAAAATATTTCATGTTTATCATAATCACCATTGCAACAATAATTCAAAAAAAAAAAAATAATTCGAAAAAAAACTCGAGGTGATGAAAACCTACGTGCGTACGTAATTTTATAGGAATACGTAATCAACGATGACGCAAAATTTTTTTTTACTAATTAAACTTAATTAAGTCATTTAGTAGATTTACTATAGTAATTAATATAAAAAAATGATTTAACAGTATTTTATTAAACTTTGTATCGCTAAAGTTAATTCTCTAAATAGCTTATATTAGTTTATCAACTCTAAGTGTAACTTTGAAAGTAATACTTTATATTGCTTCATTAATAATTTAAATAAAAAAAATTTTAACTATTAATATTATTATCTGTAGATTATTACTACAGAATTATTATTATTTTTATTATTTTTCAACCATTTTGATAAGTTTTTATTGAAATTATTAAAAAAAGATACTGTATATATTGTTATATTCCAAGTTATTTATAAGGCAAGTCTATCAAGTAAGAGGGCATGCCTATCTAAGGACCAGATGGTTGATACACAGTCATTGATAGTACTATTAGCATAGCTAGTCTAGAATATATATTAATTTTTAATTAATATATTAGCTTATATACTAGTATCAAATTTTCAAAGATTATTTTAACCATCCAAATATCTTAATATTTTCACTTGAATCTCAGAGAGGATTTCTATCCTCTTTATTACTATTTATAGTATTATAGACAAGTCTTATTTAACAGATCTTTCATTTAAGCAAGCATCAAATTAAGATATTTCAAACTAGAATAGTTTGTTTTCAAAGTTTGCTGATACAGTTTAAGATAAGAAATGTTTAGATAATCACTGTAATTCTAAAAACAGGGTCCTAGAATCTACTGATACAATTTAAAATTAGAGATATATTCAAATAATTATTGTAGTCCTAAAAGTGAAATTATAAAATTTGTTTTTATTTAGTTTGGAGAATTTAGATTAAGTTTAATTTGTATAATCAAATCAGAAGTCTTTTTTTATGCAATTTTCATAATAGATTCTTTTCAATTTAATGATCAATAGGAAAATCAGAAGTTTATTTTCATGTAACCTAATTATTTTTTCTCATATGACTCTTATATAGTATTAAACTCTGAATCTTGAAATTGTGCTCTAATAACATTATTACTATCTATAAATTCATAGATTTAATTAACAATATTTTATAGAAATCTATTAAAACTATTATATAATATATTGAATTTTAGTTTATTAATATTATTGATATTATTTCAATAAGACCTACAGGTCTATAGTGCAGTGATTAGCACTCTGTAGATCAGATCACAAGATACAGGTTCAAATTCTCCAGGGGACTAATGTGATTCTCTTATCCATAAGCAGGTAGAATCTGACAAATTATCTATTGGCCTAACTATATATAACTGATGTTTCTGAATATAGTTAATACAGATCAAGATAATTGATAGCTTTTACTGATTCTCGTCAAAAATCAAGATCTCCAAAACACAGGATGGTCTATACAAAGATAGTGATCAGGTTACTATCTGAAATCGAGTAGAATTATCCCTGATAGAATCCCATTACCACCTGCTGATAACAAGAAGAGTAGATTTCTAAACTGGTTGCATGCGCTGAGGAAGAACTGACTGAAGATCTTATTTAACACTAGTCGAAAAAAAATTATTTGGCATACTGCCACTTTTATAACATTCGGCAAAAAATACTATTACTCATGTAACATTCAGTAAAAAATAAACAATTCGACAAAAAAAAAATAACATAAATAAATTGGCAACTACAAAAATTGACAATTAAAACTATTTATTAAAAATTTATCAAAAATTCATCAACTATTCATCCACTATTCGTCAACTATTTGTCAACTATATTTGTAACTATTCATCAAAAA